TGAAGTTCTTCTATTGTACCATGGCAGTATGGTAATACTGCAGTACCAATCCATGTTATTTCATCCGAATTATTATTTAGCAGTGAATTGTCCCGTTTTCTTTCTTTTGGTTCTCTTCTCTTCGATTTTCTCAACGTTCTACCACCAGACATTTCACTTTCGATTGATGATACATACTTCTTATATCTGTCAATATCAGTAGCATACACCACATCATTAGTATTATGAGTGCTGCTACTACTACTGTAATGAACGAAATCACACGCGGGAACAATCAACTGTACTTGAATGCACAATTATAGGATCGCTTAGTAAAATATGTTAACCGTAAAGTAAATACATCATTTGCAAAATGTCAATCAATCGTCTCAAACTTCATTATTCCTTCGTTTTTATATCAATCATTTTTTGTTCTCGTTCTCCTTCTTTAGACATTCTTAACCTTCTATCGTCAGACATTTCACTGAAGATGGCACGGGTATTCAGTGTTTGACAACGCTTTAGCTAACAACAACTTCTAATATAAGTCGTACCCACCAAGAGAAATCAAAAGACAGAATCGAGGAGATTGAAAAATATATTTGATGACTATCAATATATCGAAAATCGTCTGATCTAATCTGGCTAGCGATTGCAGTAGATGTTGAGCACGGTGTTCCCATTGATGATCTGGTGCGAATGCATGACCGAGCACCTTCAGCTAGGTGAGTCCATTAAAGCTAATGTGGTCAGCATCCAATGTCGAAAACTTACAGAGCTATTTATTTTGGGGATTAATTTACCGCTACATCACTTTTGATTGATGATACATCCCAAGCTCCTAAGTTTGGGGAGATTTTGGGGTATTTTGAGGAAACTCCCGAAGTCAAATGACTTTCACCAGTGTTTGGGGAAATTTAGAGAATTCTGGGGAAAGTTTGGCGAAATCCCAAAAGTCAACTGACCTTGACCAAGGTTAAGGGGGAATTTCGGGGAAATATTGGGGAATTCGCCGAGGTCTGAGGAAATTTAGGGATTTTTGTGCCATTTCCCCAAAATTCACTATAGCAGCTTCCCCAAAATTGGGAGCTCAGGATATTACTTAAATGTGTTGACATCAATAGCACACGTTATAACACGATTTATATAGAATTTAGATATTCAGACTAGTAAAAAATACACCATCATAGATCACTTCATTTAATTAACCGTTTAAGGTCAAATCAATAAAATATGGACCCAGTTATCATTTATTTAAAGTCAGCGGAAGTCTACGCACATTGACCTTGAAACTATATATTACACGTACATCCTGTCGATTGGTTAGAAATATGTGTTTTGTTTGTATGTGAACTGCATTATTAAAATATAGCTTAGTTTATACTAATTCATAAAGGAAGTATTAAATTTTTGGCTGACTTCCAGGAATAACTATAATATTGGATGCCGGCTCAGTGGTTTAGTTGGTCAAGGTCCTGGGTTCGAATCTCGCCGCGTGCGGAATCGTGGATGTGCACTACTGAGGAGTCCCGTACTAGAACGGAACGGTCGTCCAGTGCTTCCAGGTTTTCCATGGTGGTCTAGCTGCAATTGACTCATGATTTCAATCAGTGAGATTTCTAAAATCCCCACAAAACCCCTTCTGATATTAGTTAATAAAGAAAGTATTAAGTTTTTGGCAAACTTCCAGGAATAACTATAATATTTTTAAATGACTGATGGTCGATTAAACAAATCCAATCATAATGACTTCAACTGTTGAAATTTTAACCAAATTAAAAGATGTTTCTTGATTAGTCAAGTATTCAAATAATGTACATTAAAACTGGGAGAATTTCTCAGTTTATGATTACATTTATCTGGTACAGCTGAGAGTGAGAAAAGTCAGCTCTCCCTCTCTCGAAATCCTTTCATATAGACATATATATACAGCCACTGTCCGAGAAGTCCTACTCATTGCTACCTTGAAACGGAGGTGTTTTTTCACGGAATTGAGAGGACGAAAGTTGAATGTCCGGTTGTTTAACTGGGCTGTTGGAAAACCCTGATTCCAAACCAGTTGTGAACATGGGCTCCAGTATACTGAAGGAACAAATGGCTTATGAATCAAGTGCTGAGCATTGGACTGCATCTCATAATGTTGCTTGTGGATCAAACCTTTAGTTCGAATGATTCGGGTGTAGCCCCCTAAGAAAACCACTTGCTTCGGTCTGGGCACCCGGGCAGTCTCGCAGTCAACACATAGATCAAATGTATTCGGTGCCCCTTTGTACCAATATTTTTGTGTTCGAACAAATAATTAAATATGACTGTTAGTTTTCGATTAGTCATAAATTTCAGTTACAGGATCGTTTGACCATACATTCTTATTTCATATGTGTTCTGCACTTTGTCATATAGACCACTAGGTTCTACGAAAGTATTCGTTTATCCACAATCCCGCCTCGCCAGATTCGAACCCAGGACCTACCGGTATCGCGCTTAACTGCTAGACCACGGAACCGGTCGGCATCCAACGATGTTGATGTCTAAATTCAACTTATCCACGAAATTGAGTGACACATTCACCAATGTCATCAGTGAGTTACTATATCACAACAGACCGGGTTAAACTCCACTGGTCACTGCTTCTTACTAGAACTTCAAGAAATACCTCTTGAAGCCAGTCACTAGTGAGCATATGTTCATTAATATCACAAGGGGTTTACGCAGTTATTAAAGTAATTTTAGTAGTTGAGATCATGATTCGTTTGAGGTTAGATCACCATTGAAAACCTGGAAGTACTGGACGGCCGTTTTGTCCTATTGTGGGATAAATATTCCTTTAAAATTAGTTTTAATTGAAATTTATCACAAGTTATATGAGAGATTTTAAACATATCAGTTAATTAGCATTTTAGGAAGTGAATGACCTACAAGTATTTCACTAAAAATGCACGATTTTGGTGGAGTTTTGTTGTCTAAGCTGGATGCTTTGGTTGTGTAACTTTCATCGTTCTTCTAAACGACATCATCAGTACGACCATCCAGCTCAGGCAATAAAACTTCATCAAAATCATTCACATAAGCTACAAATCTCTACCATCTCAAAAGTACAATTCGTAAATTGATAATTATAAAAATCAATTATTACACATTTTTATTAACAATACTAACGCATATTGATGAGAACATGAAAAATCCAGGTCATTAACACGTTGTTTATGTAGCACTGTAATGAATGAAGGCTCAGATAATGTAAACCAATTTATTGTATTAAGTAAGATCACACACCACTTATAAAATATGGGTGGATCTAATGGACATATGGATCTATCACCGGGAGAAAGACTTCTCGACATTGAGTATACGGATGATATTGTCTTACTGTGCGATAATGCCCAAGATTTGCAATCCGCACTTAATCAGTTGGCAATCAGTGTCCGTAGATATGGTATGTGCTTTGCACCTTCGAAGTGCAAAGTACTTCTACAAGACTGGTAGGATTCTAACCCTGTACTCACTCTGGATGGTGAGCAGATAGAAGTAGTCGAGAAGTTCGTGTATCTGGGTAGCTGCATAAGTGCTGGTGGGGGTGTGAGTGATGAGATCAATGCACGTATAGTGAAAGACAGAGCGGCTTATGTCAATCTGGGCCATCTTTGGCGCCTTCGTGATGTTAGTCTGGCTGTAAAAGGTTGGATCTACGCGTCGGTGAGAGCAGTTTTGTTCTATGCTTGTGAAACCTGGCCTCTCCGAATTGAGGACGTTGGACGACTTTCTGTGTTCGATCACCGTTGTCTCCGAAGGATTGCTGACATCCAGTGGCAACACCATGTTAGTAATGCAGAAGTTCGGTACCGTGTATTCGGGCACAGACGATAATTCAATTGCTGTCACTACCTTGAAACATCGATTTCGGTGGCTTGAACATGTTCTAAGGTCCCAGAGAATTCCTCGTCGTGCATTATTTGCCGACGCTGGGACTGGTTGGAAAAAGCGGAGGTGGTCGGTGTATGACGTGTCGTGGTATAAAAGAAAGCTGAACCGGACTGGCTTCTGTTGGTCCTTCACGACTCCCTGGTTGGGGTCCGAGAGATGGTGCAACACAGTGAACAAAGACGTTATCACATATGGCTTAGAATAGAAGCCAGTGGCGATCCTGCCGTAACCTCCTCTTACTTTCTTCATAAGAAGTGGTTGTAAGTTCCTTAACTGAAAGATTTCTTCTGTTTGTACCTTTCCTTTTCCTCCATTATTATTATAACACTAATTTTTGGTCGTTATTGTTCTTTTTACACGCACCTTACATTTTTTTATCTCTTCCCATCCTCATTATTATGTATCTGGCGACCCCTTGTACCAATATTTATGTGTTCAAACAAATAATATCTCGAGCTAAGGCTTAACATTGTAATATTGACTTTGTTAACAAACTAAGATGAATCTACCGACCGACTCGTGTCATTGAGCCTCTGACTGATTAGCAAGAAAATCTGTAGTGATATTTGGTAGAAATTCTCGATTGTTTCAGATACGCTTTACTTATAAATAATACTGTGAATGGTATCTTCTTCATGGATATATTCCTTACTACCAGTTTATACATATAGTGGCTGAACATCATTGACAACGTCCAAACCCTACATACTTAGTAACACGAAGGCATGTACAACAATTAGTTTGGACTATTTAAATAGGCCTATATTTTGAACTTAGCCTCAGTGGGTGTGAGATCCTGGCATGTCATCAGTGAGATACATCAAGTCACTTGATCCCTTGGTATTTGGAAGCTGATACTAAAAGGCAAACCTACCAAATACTCCTACGGAAAGCATCCACCTAATATATGAACTTGTGCGCGAAAATTCATGATCTTCAAACCTAACAGCATATACAAATACTTACGAGTCACAGTGCTATCAAATGTCTTTAGTCTTGAATATTACGATGCATATCACTCATTTTATGTGCGACTGAGCAATATCAACCTGAGTGGAACACAAGTTGATTCAATTAAGGATTCTGTTGTCTCACTAATGATACAAAGAAAGGAACATAAACAAATTCTAACCGTCTAGGAAATTGGAAACCACTCAAGAATATTGGACGAATGACCAATGAAGCGTGTATTCTTTTACAAGAGATATCGATTTACTGATTTTAGAGGAATGAGTATAAGCATCTATAATCAAAGACTTTACAATTCATATGAAATGTCAATTCCGACGAATACAACACCTGAATTATGCTATTTAGTAAAAGCTAACGTAGCATTTGCAATATCTAAAGACTAAATGTAGCATAAATCCTTCCATGTTTACTATACAAGTTGAATTTACAAATAAATACAACAAGTTTAATTTAGCAGAATTCAAAAATGCTTAAAAAGAAAAACAATTAAGATGGTACAAAAAAACTTGAGGAACATTTTCACGGAAATGCACTGTCAAAGGGCACTTCATGAACGAATATGTGCTTACAAACAACTAGATAATGGACAAATGAAACTAAAGCTCATTGCTTATTGAACATACATGAAAAAAAACAGATCTTTAGAGCAAAGGGATATGAGGACAAAAGCAAAATAAAGCCATTTAAGAAGCAGCTTCAGAGTTCATCCTTTATTTGATCTTCTTGTTTAGTTGCTTCACTAGATTTACCACCAGACTCTACGAACTTTTTCAGGGCTTCAAAAGATCTATCACCTGTGTAATCGATAACCTGTAAATTTCAAAATGAGAAATAATTTTTAGTTCGTTCGAGCTATGAAAACATAAAAGTTAATTAAGTATTTATAAAGTTTCGAAAAACTAGGTTTCCCCATGATAAGGTGACTTAGTGGTAATCTATGAAGTAACTGGCTATCAGATACAGATTTGAGCGTCATGATTCTTGAAACAAAAATCCATAGTTCGATAACATTAACATTTTGAAATGAAGATTCGAAGTCCAGGTAGCTGCTTTTGATGCTCGTGAATTTTCTGAGCTAGATAGTTGAATTGAGGACCTTTCATCATCGTTCTGGATAGTATCAAAGATCCATTTATGTAGACGAGTGTTTCAGTATATCCACTGAACACAACGAAGAAATGTTTTAAAGGAAAAACTAATCGAAATCTTAAAACTACCAACTGAAAAAAACAGAATGCAATTATGAAGTGAATACATCAGAACTATTATCCAGAATAGAACAAGATATTTGCCAGAAATGATCACAGTGCAACACGAGATACCTCAGGTAAAAGAATTATTTGCAGCTTTCGATTCACCACCTATGACATTAAGACTTAACGAAGAAATGCAATGGAAAAAATTCATTCGACACTAGCCTTGAAAATAATATTTTGTTGAATGATTATTAAGATCAATATTTACGTACCTCATCCGAGTTCTTGGGGTAAAACTTCAGAGTTGGAAAACTGGTAACTTTAAGATCTTCAACTTCATTAACTGTAGCATCCATTTTTGCGATCACCGTATCTGAGTTTTTGAAAGTCTCACCCAATTCATCCCAAACCGGAGCAAGAGCCTTGCAATGACCACACCAAGGAGCATCTAAAAGTTTCCAAAAAAGTTATTTTAAAAAATCCTTTTAATCGTTAAACAGATGTTTTATTTACTGCTAAAGTAGAATATTTTAAGGACATGTGCGCTATTTTCTTACATATTATTTCAGTTTATTTAGTTCGACCGAAAAACACGTAAAATTGAAAGGTATAGTGAAAGACAAGAAACTTAAAGATGTGACTCGAGTCCAATGAGTGGTATTTATTGGGTTTTTAACACAAAGGTTGACACCGAAGCACGTAAAGTTATTTCAAGAACTTATAATCAAGTAAATTGAAAAAATACATCATTTAGTAAATGTCAGGATTTGAAACAAAATAGTGATTAAAATTGTGAATGAGTTCACAACATATCTACTGAAAAGAAGTACTTACACAGTTTGACAAACACGTCTTTTGATTTATCTTTAACTACATCGTTATAATTTTTCCCAACAAGTACTTTAACGGCACCTGTTTGGTCTGATGGTATTTCTTCACTCATAAGGAAAGGCTTGACTTTCCCATCGATTGTTCTTTGAACGAAATCAGACATTGCGGAAACAGAGTAATCGTTGGTATCTGGTTTATACTTAGTTGTTTCATCACCAAGTTCGATAATTCGGTAAGTTGGGGCATCACTTTTCGAAAGCCCGAAAAATTCTAACACGCGTAAGTTGTTTTCGACATCAACATCGACGTATATCACATGGAGCTAGAAAGTAAAAAAAAAACAATACACGTTCATATTCAAGAATTCTTGGGTGTTTTTAAAAGGGGACTATGTGAACTTCATTAGCTATAGGAAGGACAGAGACGTATTAACATCTCATTACAGAACGGGCTGATCCTAAAGCACGAGTGTAGTCACAAAAAGAAGCGAGAAGACTAAATATAATTATACTTTGTGATCGGTTCAAATAAACAATCTGAATAAAGAGAATATTGGGGAAAAACGTATGCATTGACACACTAACCATTAAAAAGCATTTTTTGTAGTACTAGTAATTGAATATTCCTCATCTACCTTTAGAGTCCACTGAAGGGCACTTCGTGGTAACGAATAATTAGCTTATTCCTGACTAATACATATGATTGAATGACGAATCTACAAGTGTCCTGCCTTACTTATAGTTAATTAAATGGAAAAGTCCATGTTTCGTCGTAGTGAATTTCGCTTTCCTGAAATAAAAATGTCACTTCCCAAATAATCGGTATTACTAATTTCCTAAACGCAGTCAGGAGCCTGTCTTCCTAGAAACGTTTGAACATTACAATAAAATAAGTTCTTGATCATACAATGTCTTGAAAAATGAGTTGTCTTTATCAAACTTGTTGGTAGACTATCATATGATAGATAATTACAGACACTAGGAAAGTTTAGCTTGGGTATATTTATATATTGCTGAATCACCCGACAGAACTCTATATACACTAAGCAAGATTACTAGTGTGAAGTGCGTTAACAATGTTAAAATTTATTAGGACTGTGAATAATGCCCTTACTATTTATATTAAGACACTCGTGGTAAAGGAACTAAATAGAATGTATGGTCTGGACTATCCTGAAGTTAAGAACACTTAGGATTTAAAGACTGTCCCAGAGCATAAAACTTCGTTAAGGTTTCAGAAATCTGTACTATTTATGATTTTGTACATACAACGATAAATTGCATGGGAGACGTGGACGATTATAACTTTATTACTGCTGAAATTATTGGGGTTATAACTACCGCTAGAACTAAATAAGTAATAACAGACTGAGAATCACTAATTGAATATTAATTTGTGCAAAATGTCTACCTAATTTAGATGCGCCTTTCCCTGCATGTACCTGCTTAAGACGGAGGTTTTCAAATTAATGTGACTCGACACTACAATTTAGAGACATTATCAGGTATCACGGGTCGGTGTTGCTGGGTTGGAACATTAAAACACCAGATAACAAAGCCCTTTACGCCTCAAAGTTTGACACTGCATCTAGATAAAGGAAACACTTGATAAGGAATACGTTTCCTAATACACCGAAAGCTTATGTAAAACATTATCAGCATTGCTATGAAGGATTCACCAAGTGATCTCTACAAATAATTACCTTGCCTTTGAATTGTCTAGCAACTTCTGTAAGCTTATCAACGAGATCCGAATGGTCTGTTGATTTTGAGAGGAAGAAGACGATGTGTTTTTGAATTGGACTTCCGAATACAACTCCAGCGGTCTTCTGGGAAAATTCTGACACAAGAGGGACACTTTCCACCTGTACGAAATGCTTAAGATTCTCCAGTGTTTCTCCCGTATATTCAACACGATTGTCGTCAAACTGTAAATGACAAGCAGTTAGATATGAACTTACATTTTTAAACAAAACAATTTTTGGTGTCTGTGTGATACCATACTCAGTCAAAATATCACTGGAGTTAGCTATTGCAAAATCAGCATCATCTAATTCGTCGGCCACTTTTTCGAAGTCTGCCAAATCTAACGAGTCCGTATCCTGAAGAGTAAGCTCAACAACCGTTTGATTACCTTGATAAAACCCAATATTGCAATGGTAGCCTTGTCGATAAATTGCTTACAACTATCTAATGACTCAATATACTCCACGGAAGGTTTGGATTTTCTCAAGCACCAGTTTACAATTGCGTCAGAGTCTCTTTCGCCTCCAAAGTCAATGGGTTGTTCGTTTCGGAAGAACTTTAAAGTCGGATATCCCTTGACACCATGTTTGAACGCAAGTTCTTCTTCGACGGTAGCATCCACTTTAGCAAGTTTGATTAGTGAACCTTTTTCCTTTAACTTTTTGGCTGCTGCACTGTACTCTGGGGCAAGAGCCTTACAGTGACCACACCAAGGAGCATCTAAATAAATAAATCAAATGAAATGTACCAACTCACAGAACTCAACCAAAACAAACTTATTGTTCTTGATGACATCATCAAAGTTCTTTTTATTTAATACAAGCACATCATCTTCTTCAGTGACTTCTGACGCAGCCAAAACAAGGGAAATAACAACGAGAGCGACGGACAACTTCATAGTTGTACGTAGCGATGACACGTTTGCTTACCTGGCTATTTCAACAAACACAACAAATTAGTTTTGTACAATCCTCAATTTCCAAGATTTTGTTGGCACGCTTCAAGTGGTTTCAACTAGAATAAAAGAAATATTTGTCAGGCGAAATTTCATTTACATAGCCAATAAACTATTTTGGAGGTGTCAGATTTATAGGACAATCAACAGCAGGTGGACTGAGAAGTACACCTTCAACTTGATGTAGATGCTCATTAGGAATTTTTACTGCACATGATCTTATGTGCTACAAGGCAGTCTGTTCCTCAAACGGTCCCCAAAATCCACAAGAAACCTACAGTCATCGTTTGCTTAGCCTCAAAAGGCACTGTTGTGTGGAATACAAACACACTAGTAACAGCGGCGCATACAGGCAATGCAAACAAATAAGAAACACTTGCAAAAACAATTAAAAGAAGGCTTTAGTACCAAATAAAACTTATCGATAAATTTTTCGCCAATCCGAAACGCTTATTCCGTTACTCAGCCACTCTTCGACGAGCCAAAACTCGAGTTTGCCAACTGCTAGGTCCTAATGGCCTTTCCAACAACGATGGTGACTCTGCTAACATTCATTAACTGGGATCTGATGAATGGCGTCCTAGATTACCAAAGCAACTAGCGAATTTCGTTGTCAATTCATTAAGCATAAGTTCCAGTCTATATGAAACTCATCCATTACCGAAAGACTGGAAGAACGCCGCAGTAAATTCTACATTCAAAACAGGTATGAAACCTGAGAACTATCGACTTCTAAGCTTAACCAGCGTAGTTGTTAACATTTTAGAAAGAACTAGTCGAAAGTTGTTAAAGTATCTCATCGAAAACCAGGTTCTTTCTAGAAAGCAGCATGGTTTTAGAACGGGATATTCTTGTCTCACTAACTCATTAGTAGCCTATGAAATTTGGTGCCCACTTAAAGATCAAAAGTTACCTAAAGAAGTAGCATACATTGACTTCAGCAAGGTTTTTGACAAAGTTTCTCACAAATGACTGCTATATATTTTAAGTAATATCGGGGTCAGAGATCGTTTATTGGTGTGGATAAAAGGCTTCCTAGTTGAGCTTCAACATGGGTACGGGTGGTTGTTAAATTTAAATGGCATAGATGATATAGTAGAATACAATTATAAGCTAGGTTAACGTGTAAGTTGATGAGAAATAGAACAAATAAGAAAAACTTAGCCAAAATGAAGAATATTTATGAAGTTAGGATGACTGATAGAACTTCAGTTAGAAATATGACGAGTTATAAACTTTCCATAAGAAGCTGTTGTAGTTAACCCAGCGATGTTTATAAATGTGTGGCAAATGTAATTTGAACTAAGAAATGTTGAATAATTTTTTGAATCTAATATACTTCGTATGTAAACAACAGACTTTTTCAAAGTAGCATGTTGTAGTATAAAGCTATTAAATATATTTCAACACGAAGTCATTCTTAATTACTATAATCCCACTCTGTTTAACTCCCAAGCAATGTTTACGTAGATTTCCATTTTTCGCGTTTTAAGAATAAAACCAACACTTTTGAAATTATTACATCCATTTCTCGGTCAGTTTTTACCGTTTTCTTTTTGACTTATTTTTCAACTTATCGGTACCTGGAGAATTCTTATTTTTCTTTTGGTAAACTTCGGCGCGCAACAGTCCCACTCAATATGGTATCGAACCAACGTCACGTTGATTCTCGTAGGAGAGCAGTAGAGTGGCGCTGGGTCCTAACTACACACTCCTCGAAGCTAAACACGAGATAACTGGGAAAATATATGTTCAACATTCGACGCGGAGAGAAGAACAACAATGAAGAAGGCGGGAAAAATTAATTCAATTCAATCGGATGGTATGGTTCAGCCTTGCAAACGTGGTCGTTCTAGTGTAACTTGACACCTTCATTTATATCAAATATATTGTTCTATATTCAATCTAATTGTGTTCTCCATTATATTTTAGTGATTATTTCTATACGATGAGTCAGTGTAGACAATGATTTGTTTTCCACGTAAGCTCATATAGACTAAGCAGTTACATCGTCACAAATGTTGAATACATATTTTTCCAGTTATCTCGTGTTCATCTTTGAGGATTGTGTGGTTAGGACTTAGGGCCACCACGAACTCATAGTTGTCTATCTGATAAAGTATGCCTAACGGAGTGCCTTAGGATACAGTTCTGAAGCCAATTTTATTTATTTTTGTTAGGTCTCGATATACGAAATCGACATGTATCCTGGACCAGGGATACTCAGGCTGTGGCTATGGGACAGGCAGTACTTTCGCGTTACGCTTGGCCACTTGCTGAAAATGCGTGCACTTGCCTATTAAATCCACTATGCGTTGGTCCATGAATGTCTGATAAGCATAGCTTCTGGCGATGGATTTCAATCGTTTTATACCAGGATGACCAGTGTTGAATTGCTTTAGCACCCTTGATCTTAAGGACTCTGGCACCACTACTCTATCTCCAAACATCAAGCATTCGTTTACGACACATAATGAGTCCTGACGGTGGTAAAGATGCTTCAAGTCACCATAGAGTTCAGTTGGCGACCAGCCATTGGTGACGTATTTCTTTATGATGGTGTAGTTCTTGGATGCAGATTTTATTTCAACTGCTGAGACTGGCAAAGCACGAATGGCGGTTGTCGGGTAACATTGCGCGTTGTCCTCTATCATGAGGGCTGCAATAACTGCATCTTCGCCGGTCGTATAGTATGCGCTGATAAGTTGTGACATGGCACTAGCCTGACCAAACGTTTGGGTGTGCCGGTACTGAATGTCAAAACTCTAACCCAAAAGTATCAAAGCCCATCGCTGGAGACGGTTTGCAGAATGGGTTAGAACACCAGATTTCGAACCGAAAATTGTGAGAAGTGGCTTGTATTATTATTATTATTCACAAACATCTTATGGGTACATAAGTGTTGTGAAGAAACCATTTCGGGTTTCTTCAGAAAATGCAATAATACACAATTTTCAATAATGTTAGCATTATACTTGCCATATTTAAAAAATGAAATAAAATATTTAAAAAAAAATTTAGAATAATAATAGTAGAATATTAATAATAATAAATCGGGTCTGTGTAATTGAGAAGAATATTGAATTGAGTTTAAAGAAGGAAATGGAGAAAATAAGGGAATAGAAATAAAGGAGACGTGAAATAAGCAAACAGTCTAATAGGCGTGTTTATGAACAGAGAAGAAGAAAAAACGACCATGTGTGTATCGTTAAATTAGTAACAAAAAGTAATTTATCATTGTAGTAAGATATGACACTAGAATAAATGTTTGTGCAGTTATAGTTTAGAGTGATGCTATGAAAGTCACAACTAAGTGAAAAGGATAATAAAATATCACTCTGTATGAGTCATATATGCATAGTGAAGATAAAACGAATCAGAGAAGCTAATTAAAGTGTAACACAAGTTATTGTTTTAATTACAAACTTCGTAATCTTGAGAATAAGATTTATTTAGAAGGGAAGAAGAGAGAGAAAAGAAGTGAACACCCAGTGAAAAGGTTCATCCATGATAAGAATAATAATTGTGTAATGAATATCAACCTCAGAAGGAAACCAGCAATTGAAAAAATAAAAAATAAAAATCCTTTAAAGCACTCGGATGAATACATTTAGATTTATGTAATAGTATACAGAATGAAACCGGATATTAGTATAAATATTTGTGCAATAATAATTAAGATTGATGATATGAAAGTCAAAATGATTTCAAAGGACAATCTGGAGTTAAATATGTTTAGAAGGATAAGAAGAGATAAAGAGAATATCTAATGTGTTGGGGAATTAATAATGATATTAATAACGTTAATAATGATAAACACGAACATAAGCAGACTTCATATATTAAGATAAAGAGAAATAATACAAAATAGACGTGAAAAGATTTAAAGTTTTTATTTTGCTTTTCATGCAATTAAATAGATGACGGACCTTGTTTGTATAAATCATTATTGAATACATTGATATTCAATAAGTGACATAATCCACCTTCGGAAAGAAAGTCAAAGAGACTTTTGAACCGGGTTGCAGTTTCACTGCAACGGAGGTTCACTGGCAGTCTGTTCCACATGGTTGAGTAGCGAATAAGGAAAAAATTCTGACGTAAGTTTGTGTGGGTTCTTGGAATCGCTAGAATGTTCTCCTTATTGCGTAGATTGTGAGGTGATATCATAAGGTATGAAGGGGTGGATACCGAAGAATAGGAAATACCGTTAATGAGCCGGTATTTAAAGACAAGATTTAATTTGATACATCTGATCCAAAGAGGTTCTAAGTTGAGTTGTTGACATCTTTGGTAATAGTCTTTGTTATCGGAATACCCCAGAACAGCTTTGGTGAACTTTCTTTGAACACCTTCAATTCTAATCAGATCATTATGTCTACAATTACTGTAAACTAAAATACCATATTCAAGAATGGGTAAGATACATTCTCTGTATAATAACAATCTCGATTCGATATTATTGAAGTTTATCATTATCAATTCGATGAGCTTTCTAGCATTGGATATTTGAGATATAATGTGTTCAGAAAAGTTCAGACTGTTGCTATATCTTAAACCCAGGTCACGAACAGTTGTCAGAGGTTTGATTGTATGTGTCTGTACAGTCAGATTTAAGTTAAGACAGCGACCAATGTGAATAAATTCACTTTTCTCAACATTAAGTGGCATATTCCACGAAATAGTCCATTCGTACAACTTGTTTATTTCCTCCTGGATTACCGCTGAAATATAGCTTTCTTTAGTGGGAGGTCAGGTTATCAGCAAAAAGGAAAGGCTTGCCATACTGAAAGAGGGAACATTCATCATTGATAAAAAGGAGAAAGAGTAATGGACCAACCACACTTCCTTGTATAACCCCACTGGTTACATTTACAGGTTTAGAGTAGCAAGATCCAAAGCGAACGATTTGGCTACGTTCTTCTAAAAAAGATTTGAGCCAAGATAAAAGGGGATTCTGAATGCCAAATGAAGAGAGTTTTAAAAGAAGAAGTTTGTGTGAGACACTGTCGAAAGCCTT